TAAAGTGATGTTTGTCAGAAGGTCCAACCATTAATTATTTCGACTTTATTTTCAGCGCTGCTTTATGAAATATGACCTTAGTTTTAGTTGATTACTTACGTATGGCATTCAAGATACATGTACGAGGGGTTATCAAAAAGTTCGTGGACTAGCGCCATTAAATCAAAACTGCTTTAGGTAAATTAATCAATTTTTAAAATATCAAGTTAGCATCATCTTTTCTCTCTTAAGTATAAAACCATCAATCATAGTTTTTATTTTATAAAAAATTAGTTATTTATTTATACGCAATGGTATGTCCGGGCGGCGCAACCTCGAAAACGACGTTATTGCGACCTTTGTGTAAATGAGAAAATCTCTTTTGATAGGATCATCTGACATCCAAAAATCCCGTTAATTCAGGTATATATCGGGACACAGTTGTGCCATAAAATATGAAATTTTTACTTAATTCTGGAAGCTCTTTTTTATTTTATTATAAATTTTACATGAAATGTCCAAACAAATGAGGCCTTGAAAATCAAAGGGGGAGGGGTTTCCGTTTCAAGCATTCTATAATGTTTTGCCTCTGTTAAAAATGGTATAGACTTAAAATATTTTGAAACTGGCTACAGAAAAAGTAATATGCATCCAGAGTCCTTGTCTTTTAATGTCAAAATAGATTCAGGGAGAAAATGGATACACGGTTAATGTCGATTTGCAGTCAAGATGTGAAAAACCAATCACGTCAAAAAAATGATGATGATCACGTTTTTTAGATATTGAACTCCCAAATGCAAAATATGCCGGTGTAAAGACGAATAATGACCCCCATCGAATAATGACCGGGGGGTCATTTTTCAACGACAAAAAATGACCCCCACCCGTAGAAAAAATTCATTTTTTGTAGGAAAAGGGTCCTAGGGGGTCATTATTTTATATGTTAGTCCTATAAAATAATGACCCCAATTGAAAAATGACCCCCTTTAAAGTGATACAAAATATACACTCTTTGATATCTTTTTTACAGCGAAACTAATTTTTACATTTCTGTAACCAGAAAAATACAAAAAGTCGTATAAAATAATTAAGAGTTTACGCAGTCTTTCAATGCTAAAATTGTGTTTGAAAAGAGATTCTTTAATTGTCAACTAAATTAAATATCTTTTTAATATTCCTCCTTATAGAGTTTGCTTAAAGAATGATATTCCACTTGTTTTAGAAATTAAACCATGCAAAAACAGGTTTAAAAACTCTTTAATAGGAAAAATTAAATTTTCCGTAATTTCAACTTTTAGTTTGTTTAAGTTTTGCAAATCCTATTTCACAATGAAAGAGGAGGAAATTTTTATCCCCCCGCCCCCCAAAAAAAGAACATTACGCTAAATCAAAACAAAACAAAATAATAATAAATGAAAAGCAAAAATATAAATAAAACTCTATACCTTTTAATAATTCTGAAAGAGCCTCTAGATAAAATATTGAAATGAAGTTAAGCCTTCACACAAGTACTATCATTTCATAATTAACTTCGCCATGATTAAAGCATACTTTAAATGTTGGTGGAGGTATACTTGAAAGTATTGTGGCAAAGTAACAGTTAAAAATTAGTAGAACAGTAGATTATTTTTAGCTTATTTTTAATTCCTTCTTATAGAAAAATAAAGGTAGGATGTATTTTTTGCTTTTGTTCAATATCGACTTCCTCCTAAATAAGAAAGGGGTGGGGTAAGTATAAGACCTAAAAATATGCTCTGTAAAGCTATGGGCTAGTGTAAAATACACAGCCATTCTAATGCAAAAACTATACATGTAGACATAAACTTTTGATTTAGCACACAGTATTCATTACATTTCTTTTAACGTAGAACCTACTTCTTATGACATCATAACTGGTAAATGTGTGTAACCTGTGCTAACCCATTAAGACGTCATAATTAATTCAATGCCACTTTTTCCCGTACTTGACAGCTTCAATAAAAATGGTAGAAAATATTGCATTTTGAAATTCACAGAATTCAATCATGCCAACATAATCTTAATTCAATTCATATATTTTTTGGTTTATATAATGCTTAATGGCAATATATTTCTGGAATAAGAGAAAATATGTAGGCACCTTTTATTTACTAGATCTAGACCTGAAGTTGACAAACCCAAGACTATCTAGTGTAATGAAATTACAATGTACATACAACTTTCGTAATAATTTGAATGGTGTGTAACCATTTTGAAGGAATGCATAAATCGTAAGAAATCTTCAGTTGCGAGCTATATAGTGTAATATTTTGATGAAATATGTCTAGGTCAAAGATGTACGTGTTGTAGATCGTTTGATAGTGTGTACATTTTTGTGATATCTATAATGAAATGATTTGCATTCCTTTTAACAATTATTTGTTACCTATTCATATTCTTGGTGTTTGATTACAATTTTTCTATTAAATATGATCTTTTTAAAGTAAAAGTACAATTTCTGATAAATATTTAATCTGAAAGTAACCCCAAACAGTCATTTAATAATTAAATCCCGTGTAAGTGCAAAAAGGTCAAGAATATGAGTATCGGTAAATAGCCTATCTTTCATTAGTTAGAGGGGAAAGGTATATATTTTAATCATTTTTTCTTTTGTAATCATTTGACTATGTTCTTCATCATATTGAAGATTGAAAACATTGTGACAAAGACTTCTTAAAAATATTTACAAATATAGGGTGCATAATTGACTAAAACTAATAGAGTTCATTTGACTATTTTTTTTTAATGGTGGACTTATCCTTTATGTTAATTAAATGAAAATAAATTATTCCTTATAAAATTTTGTTTAATATTATTCATTTAAAAATTTTATAAACGACGATGTTTGAAGAAGTATTTTTGTGATTTTTCATATTCCCTTTTTGACAAGTATTCCTAAAAAAATTTGAAAATGTGAAGTCGCAGTATGTAAATACCATTATGATACCAAGTTTCACAGCCTGTTCTAGATTAAAAAACAAGGAAACATATCATGATGTCTTAACTGATTGATAAGCAAGTACTAATTTATCATTTTGAAACGTTTGAAAATCTTGTGACAAAGACTTTTCCGACATAGGTACTACCTTAATTCTTGTTTTACTCCACCCTTTTACTCCGTTCTGAGTATATTTTTCAGAGAATTTAATATGAAAATCAGAACAAACATTTTCATTGTTGTAACGTCTTCTTTATAATGTATATTATTATGAAAAGTCAATTGAAGACCATTTCTTTTAATGTCCCCGTAATGAAGATTCGGGGGTATATTGTTTTATTGTGTTCGTCTGTATGTCCGTCTGTCTATCTGGCGGTTTGTTTGTCCGCAAAAACATTAACCTTTATCATAACTTTTCATTTATTGGAGCTATGACTTTCATATTTAATATGTATAATCCTTGTGACAAGACCTTACTTTGGGTACCACTAAATTTGACCTTTTGACCTTTACCTTGGAGTTTGTCCTATTTTACACAAAAATGCCAAATTTTTACTTTGGCCATAACTTTTAAACGATGGATACTAGTACTCTCATACTTCAAATATGTAGTTTTTTGGCATTACCTTTCATTGGATACTACAAACCTTGACCTTTTGACCTTGACCTTGGATTTTTCCGTAATTATGATTTTTTTAAACTTAACCATAACTTTTGAGATAAAGGGCTATGATATTCATACTTCACATATGTAATCCTTGTTACATTAAACATTTTCTTAAGAAATCATCAACTTTGACCTTTGAGTTTGACCTACCTTTCAAAACTTATCCTTAGCCATTACTTTTGAACAAGTGGTGCTAGGGCTTTCCTATTTTACAATTGTATTTCTTGTGAAAAGACCCTACTTTTGGAAAAAATATATTTAAATTGCATTTAAGAAAACTTTAATCTTCGCTATGTTGCCATACAGATGCATAGCTGTTTCACAAACACATCTTTTTAAATATGAGGATTTGCGGATAAGAGATGGATACCTCAAAGCGTAACAGACGGACTGACGGACGGACGGACATCCCGATCACTATATACCCACCCGCTTTTCAAGCGGAGGATATAACAATATATAATATTGCTGATTGTTTCTGTCAGTTCGATGATTTCCACCATCAAAAAACAATGTTTACCTAACCCTTAAGGCTTGATAAATCTTTTACTCCTTGAGATTCTGAATCATTGCATTTACCTTAAAATATGGCTATAATTGTTTAATGTTATGAGATCAACATATCATCAGTTTATTCCCAATAAGCTCAGGTGAGCATTTTTGGCCAATATGTGTCTTTATCTAATTTTTTTTTTTGCCCCCTAAAAATTTTAGCTTTAATCTACAGAGGGTCATTTTTCTACGGGGGTCATTTTTCTTCACGTGGGTTCAGCAAATTTCTAGGGAAGTGACACTTTTTCTACGGGCAAAAGGGTCATTTTTCTACGTCGAATAATGACCGGGGGTCATTTTTCGCTGTCGAAAAATGACCCCCGGTCATTATTCGATGGGGGTCATTATTCGTCTTTACACCGGCACAATCAAGCGAGGATTTCTCCAAATATAATCCATTTGGAATATTATATTCATTAAAGACCATTGTTCATGGCATTGTAAAGTCATATAAACAAGGCAGGTTTAAGTCCTTACTCAGTTCCAGGGAATCTCATCAAAAAAGTGTATGAGGTAGAAGTAGCAGATATTTAAAAAAATAATGACGTTATTGGACGTCACGAAAATAAACGAAGACAGCGCCGGATGATCATATAATGTCGTTTTTATTTTATAATAATTTGGCAAATAATAAACATATCAGGCTAAAATTTTTAGCATTTCTTTATTTTATGTAGTTTTATGTTCCATATAAATTTTGAAAGCACAGGCTACATAGTACTGATTTTATAGCCTCAGTCCACGAACTTTTTGATAACCCCTCGTATAATGTTAATGCTTATTTTATAATTATTATTTTTGTACTGATGATTGCCTTTATAATGTTCAATGCATAATTTTATTTAGAATCCATTCCCACTGTCAGTGATGGCGTAGTTATTCGCAAAGTTTGTAAACAAGGAGCTGGAGATTGTTGTGTAAAAACCTACAGTATAAGAATTAAGAACTGTACATCTTTTGTGGCGTACTGCCTTGTACCTGCTGAAACATGCTCTGAGAGATATTGCTTTGGTAAGCTTTTATGAGAAAAATTGAAATTTGAATTTCAAAATTGTCATGAAAATGTAATTGCAGACACATGTAGAATGTTTTCCTTTATTTTTAAAGGAGAAAACGGAACTTGTGAATTGCCTCCTCAGTTAATTACTAATATAGAAAGCACAACTGCTGGATCGGCAAAGGCAAGTTTAGGAAATCTTTCTTCTTTTAAACATTTTCAGCTTTTTCTTTGTGGGTCATCTGTTTTGAATGTTTGAGTTAGTTTTTTTTTTTCTGATCAAATATCTGCGGTTTATGTCCGTCCCTTTGTAAACTTTTCATATCATCGTCTCCTTCGTATGAACCACTTCTGCCAATCATAATAAAACATGCCTTAGAGCATCTTTAGATGTTCAAAGAGGGTCTCATCATTTTCTTAGGGATAAAGAATAGATTAAAGCGTTCAGGAAACGTTTGAGGCTATATAAACATGATTAAGGGTTCTAAAATTATACAAGGAAAAATAACTTTTCATTCTTTTAAACGTTTTAAAGACTATACATTTAATCTCTAGATGAAAACAATAAGAAAAATTGGATATGGAGTTTATGCATTGGTGGCATTCTGTCTTCAGGTTTCATACTGATAACTGTACATGTGAGAAAAAACAAAGGTAAGTTTTATTTAATAGGCTCGTATTATCTGACATTGTGTGTCCCTGCAATGTTTTTTTTAAATTACATATTAAGTTATTTTTATTATATTTCAGAAATGTATAAGTCCATGATGTGGAAAAAAATTGCCTATGGTAATTTTCCGTATAACTTCTACTAACTCAAAAGACTATGGAAAGAAAGATCAAGACTGAATGTTGTTTCAAAAATATTTTGTTGGAAAGCAAATTGACCATTTTTGTTATTACTTTATTTTGTTTGACACTTTAAGTATTAACATAAGTAAAAATATATATCCTTATTATATACCGTATAGGTAGAAATTAGGGTGAGGATTTAATTTTGGCATTATTAGTGAGGCTGCTGAGATCACTAAAATTGAATTTCGCTAAAAATAAACCGCGTGTTATTTGTACTAGCTTCTTTAGTGAACAATTAAAAATCGCTTAAATTAATTCTCGCTAAAATAAAATACCAGTTTTTAGGAGAAATCGCTAAATTTGCGTCTCGCTAAAATTTCCACTTATACGGTATAAGTATGAATAATTTAAATGATTTTTATGTTATATATACATAAACTTGCCTTGAATGATTTAGACTTTTTTATGACAATCAAAATGTTGAGTTAAAACATTATTCCCAACTGATTTAAAATTCTACTTAATACTCTAATTCGCTTTCAAATTGGTATGCTTTAACAATTCACAGTATAAAATTAAAGTACTAATTGACCTCATTGTTTATACCCTTTAAAACACATTGTAAATACAAAGAGATCTTTGAGTAGGTGCTTTTTGGGGTGTGTACATAAAGGAGATTTCAAATCAAATGAACAACATCGAGAATGCTGAGACTGATTCATTTGGCACCAGTGACAAAGGGGCTGGCCCCTAAAAGCAGGGATCTGTAGCCATTTAAAGTTTTTGCTTTATAACTCAAAAACTGTAAATATTTCGAAATGGCTGCCGTAAACAAATTTGTTCTTATTGATTTCATAGAAATTATATTTTGTTTGATTCTTATGTTTTATTTGAGCTAGAAGCATGACCAATGTACAGGGAGTTGGGGTTTTTTTCAGTCGGGTACCCTTCCAACCCTACCTACCACCTACACAGAGAAAATGAATACATTTAAATTTTTGGACATTTTTTCTTAAATTCCTTGAATCGTTCGTTAATAGAGTTGGATATTCCTTGGAAGGGAAAAGACCTCATTGTCATCTAGGCTGCGAGAGGGGGTGTGTGTGCGAGTGTGTATGTAAGGGCTTGTGAAGGTGTGTGAGGCAGGGTGTGTGTATGTGAAGTGGAAGCTTAATGGGTTTTTTCCTACTGAGATTTATTTTTTAATCAATATTTTCTCCCTTTTTTTCAGAAGGTATGTCTTTGAAGCACAATGTTTTTATTGATATCAAATTCTCAATGTAATATATTCATTTGTGTCCATAATGTCCTTAATTCTTTCCTCATTTGACCCTGTTTTCATTCGGGGAAACCAAATTTCATTTCTCGGTCCGACAAAAAAAATTGTGGATAATACCCTGTTAACAAAAGGGAAGTTTTTAACTAAATCGTTTAGATATTAAATTGTTATTTAAAAAAAGTCCTTCAAAAAGAAGATCGAATTGCATGTAACACGCGGAACAAAATGTTAGTTAAAATCTGCCAATTATTCGGATTTGAATTACTTTCAGAAATAATGTGTTGTTCTAACAGCATTGTATAAAATTAATTATCTATAACAACAAAAATGTGTCATAAAGGAAAATTTGATTGATTTTGCAGACTTTATTTTTCGTTTCAAAACTGTGTAACATTATGTATTGTTCAAAAGAAGAGTTTTATTCGCAAGTTTAATGGAACATATATGAAACAAATTTGAAGCGCGTTCACGCAGAGAATTTTTTTTTGCGATTTACGCATGCCTTACTTTGAATTATACACAAACTCAAAAATTAAGGACCACTAAATTTGATATGAAAATTGAAAAATAAAAAAAAAATGTTTTTGATTGGATAAATTCAGAATTGCTTGTCAATCAAAAGTTTTTTTTATTATTTTTAATGCTGCATCGATATCTCCATTCAAATACTTGTAAAACCGGTTTTTTCAAGGCCATTAATGCTTGTTTTAAGAACGGAGTTTTCATTTGTATTCATAACTTTGTTCGCATGAGCTATACTGATAGGAAAAAATGTTATAAATTCTTGAATCACGCCTCGTCTAAAATTATCGGATGCTGAATGCTTGCAGGCCATTGGAATGGTAAACACTGGAATAGAGTATAGAAGGGTTGGCGAATACTTTCATGTCAGAAAGACTGTAAATTTGCTTCAGGCACAGCGCTGGAGAAGAACTGGTAGTATGGAAGAAGCTTCAAGATCTGGAAGACCCCTAAATACCACAGAATGGAAAGATCGACTTTTGATACTGCAAACAGGCAGAAGCAAACGGAACACCCAAGCTCGAATCAGCAGAAGCACAATTAACAGGAGTCAACTAGGAACTGATGAGATCATGTCGGCCAAAAAAAAAAAGTCCGCTCTTATCCCAGTGACACAAAGAAGCAAGATTACAATAAGCATGACAGCATAGGAGGTGAAACATTCGGTCGCGGGAGAGAATACATTGTTCAGATGATTGGTTGATTGATTGTATATTGTTTGAACGTCCCTCTCGAGAATTTTCCACTCATATGGAGAAGTCACCGTATCCGGTGAAGGACTTTAATTTTTGACCTTTACACGGCACTCTGGGCCATTAAGCTGTCGCAGCACAGTTAAGGTTACAAATAGAAATATCGGCGACTTGTTAAGATAAAAAATACATACTTTATTAGGATGGGCGAATCTTTTTAGGAATTCACTGACATCAAAAAAATGTATTGTAGTTTATATCTACATGTTGGGGACATTTAGATTTTTTTATTTAGAATTTTCACCTGATTTCTACGTCACATGACTTTGGCAATTATACTTGCAGTTTAGAGGTCATCTATAAATTTCAATATTGCAAGGGCATAACCTAGCAGAAAATCTTAGTTTATTTTATAATCCTTTTCAACACTATATGTAGTTTTTGAAAAGTTCTGCGAACCTATATAGATTCCCTTTTTTAATTGGTAAAATTTAATTTGTTGGACGGCAGGTTGAATATTTTGCTGGTCAACTACATTAAATATACCTATTATTAATTTATTTGCAAGATTTCAAGATTCAAGAGGTTCGCAGCACTTTTCAAATATCTTAATGCTTCTTGAGTTTATGTGTAAAATTTTGACAAGATACATTGAGGGTATGCCCTTGCAATAAATCGATTTATTAGGGCCCTTCCATCACCTTTTCAATGAATCTGCATACAAACACACGACAGTATCGCTTGTCTGATAAATGCACGTACAGTTTATGAACAAAATACTAAAATAAACATCGCATCCAAGTTAATGGCTTTTTATTTTACCGCAAATAATATTTTATTTCAGAACAAAAGACATTTTTCATTGTACAAAATGTGACTTGATCAGCCTCTGACTGTGTAAAAACTGCGTCATTTTTGCGAGATGACGTCACATTGACAAGAGCATTGCGATCGATGCATCGTTTATATACTGTTGTGTGGGATTTAACAAACGACAAAACTGCATGTAATAGTAAGTTTGTATGTAGTATACAGCTATCCAGCTGTTTGAAATAGCAAATAATTTCATTTTGAGGTTTTTTGAAGACCTTATATAATGCGTGACGTCATAGTAAACATTTCCCGTACAAATTAGGCCCCGCCTCCTTACTGTAACCTTAACTGTGCTGCGGTGAGGAATCTTTACCGTGCCAACGCCTGCCGCTGACACAGGGCCTCGATTTTAAGGTCTCATCTGAAGGACCCGCAACTTTCACTTCAAAATCTCAAGCGCATGGTTAAGGAACAGTTGCTACCCATTTTTTATCGACTTAGGTCAGTCAAGACCTCCCGATCACGGAGCGAGCGCTCTACCGATTGAGCCACCGTGAACGGTTTGGTCAGATGAAAGTTGATTCTTGCATTACCTGGTAGACGCCATGGTTTGGGTATGGACACAACTCGAATTCTGCATTCAAACAACAACATGTATTTGGAACAAAGACCTACACATTCTTGATGGCAAATTAACTGCAGTTGTGCGTCATTTCGATGATTCTTCATAAGGAAGTCGACCTGTACGTATAGGTGACAACGCTAGACCCGAATAGATAAGATTATCTTGGCCGAGAAACCATTGAAACTATGCCCTGGCCCGTGATCAAATGATCCTCGTGAAAAAAATCTGCACAAACGTCGTGGCGATACACATTATTAATTATATATGCTTATAAAATGATGAAAATTGGTGACTCTTTTATTGTCAATAAAGTCTAAAATGCTTATTGTTATCAACATTTGTCACCAACAAATTAAAGTGAAACTTCTACATTTTTGACTTGTATTCTTTTCATTGGTATATTATCATTTCCATAAAACAGGTGATTTCAAAACATGCATTGTCTACGGAAAGTATAGATCTACTTAAATTTTAAACCAAATATTAAATGAGTTATTAGATTTGTTTAAGATATTGAAGTGTTCCAAAAAAATTCACAGAAAGAGTGATGGGACCTAACTTTGGCTAGGTGGATATTTTTCTGATCACCAGATTTCGTTGCAGTATTTCAATGTGGAGCCTAAGCAAAGATGATAATTTCAACTATTCACCATAAAATAAGATTATGTTATCGACATATATGGATGAAGAGTTTAACATTTATTTGTTATCGTCCTTTATAAAAAATTAAAAATATTGCTATCTTCTAAAATATTAATTTGACTCGCTCTACTTGTATCTTCTCTTTTTCCAAAAAAATAGCATCTAAAATATTCCCAGTCGCTTGCGAATAATTTTTGGAAGCTTTTTTTATGCTTCGTTTTTTTAGTTGGCTTTACCACTTTTTAAGGGGCATGGACACAGTTTCAGCTTAATTTTCAAATTTATTTTTCCATTTTACAAATATCAAAAATTTGAACGCCAGTGGTCCAGATGCAAGACAGATATAAAGCTCCAAACCTTTGATATGTTTTTTGTTTACACAGGTTAATATAAGAATATATGTTCGTTAAAAGTACATAATTTCAATAAAGGTTATTTTTAAATACGATTCGATAGTTACTATTAATTAGCTGAACTTCATTTTGTTATAAATATGATATTTTCTATATGTAAACAAAAACAAGGCACGAGCCATGTTTTCATTATGAAGAACTTTATGTTCTGTATCTTGTCTGTCAATCAACAAATGATGATTATTTTTTTGCTAATCAATAGATGATGCCTTAAGTAGGAATTCTAATAATTAAAATTGGTTTTGAAAAATCAGTTGAAACTATGTCCAGGCCCCTTTAAAGATTGTAAATCAAACTTTAAACTTGGCTTTTTAATTAAAAGTCAATTTTTCATCTTGGCTTATCTAACAAAGTGAGATAAATTCAGCTTTTATTTTACTTTCAACTTGTCTTTTCAACGTTGAAGATCATAGTTCCTTCATTAAACTCGTCTTCTTGATCTTGATTTTTTTTACCTTTAAGTTGAACATTTTTAATCTTTTCAAGTTTTTGTCTCCTTTTATAACCTTATTGTACACTTTGTTGATGCTATAGTAGTACAGTGTAGAAACAAAATTTTATGAAACACAATTGACATTTACGTTTTTTTCAATGACTTTAATTTAACTCCCAACTTTAAAAACCCTAATATTTGTCCTATCCATCTTTTATTACTTGATAAAAAATAACATCGTCCGACCCCAGAAAATGAAAACATTTTAGACACTAAATAACAAAAATGAAACAAAGATACATTAATTGAGACTGAATTTCAAAAAAATGAGATGACATAAGGTCATTGTGTAAGATTGTTCTAGCTATATGTAATGCTACAAAGTCAATTCATTAATATTAATGCTAAATGTTTTAATATTTTACATGAAAACAATGATTTTTTTATCGACATGATGAGTATTGCAATCTTTTCTTTCCATTGTATTCATAAAAAACAACACGTGCTCCAACATTAAATATAAAGTTAAAAAAAATATAAATTAAATCAAATTTGCCACTTTAATTGATGAAATTTCCAAGTTTAAAGTTAGGATAGATAATTTGAAGTAGCTAGGAATTACCAAAAGTAAACCTACGTTAGTATATCCCACTCTACCAATAAAGTTTAGAAAAACACAAAAAATGTTAACAAGCAAGGACTAAAAATGCAGCTACAAAATTTTATTTTGAAGCTTGAAAAATTAATAAAAAGAGTTGGAAAAGCTATGAATAATCTCAAAGGGAGGAGGAATAAAATTAAATTACGAAATCTAGTGTTTTGGGAAAGCCATCATTAAAGTAAAAAAAGCTTTAACTTTGAATCAGAAACTTCAAAGTATGAAAAGCCAAAGTTATAGTTGGAATTTTCATATCTAAACTATGAAAAGCCAAGATGAAAGTAAGGATATAAGATGCACTTTGTGTAGTTATGTTTGAAACCTTGGTCTATAAGTGTATGTTTCATTTTCTGGAAAGAATATGTCGATCTTCCTTTGCTGTCGTGAATACGTTAGTTTAAAAAGCCAGATGATCCTTTAATAACACTTATTATAATAATCATTATTCCTATACATACTGGAACCTGAAGTTGAAATATTGGGGTAGTTAGAACATTATTTTAAATAAAAATCATACGAGGACGTTGATGATCTAATAAACTTCTATATAATAAATAATTTTGGTGTTATCACATCTCCTTTGCATGATCTATATAAGGGTTCAGTATTTCCTACAGGGATATTTTGTATACACTTTCATGCCTTGGCTTGGAAGTTGCTATTTATGTCAAAAAACGTATTTAGTGGGCCCCTGTGGCGTAAGCAAATAACACTGGGTAATTATCATATATACATGTATTGAAGAAGCTGTTAAAACACACCACAAAATCTGACACATCTGTTTCATACTTGGATATTTTACTTAAAAAAGACGTTAATGGTAATCTAATCACCAAGCTATATGATACACCTGATGACTTTATCTTTTCTATCGTCTAATTCCCTTTTTTGCAGCAACATACCTTTCTTACATGTTTACAGAATGTGTATATCTCAGTTGATTCGATACGCAAGAGCATGCTCTACGTACGAACAATTTCTAAAACGCGGTAAATTATCGCCAAACAAGTTGATGAAACAAGAATATCAGCAGACTCGTTTAATTCATCATTTCCTAAGTTCTATGGTCGATACAATGACCTTGTCAGCAAATACAATTTATCATTGAGTCGAATGCTGACTGTAGTTTTTCAAACCAATAGTTAGTCAATTATTTATACACTGAATTGACGACGGATTTTTTCCGTTATTTCCCGATCATGACAGGGAGCACCGGCGGGTTTGACTGGTCAGCAGTGATGCTCACTCCATCATGACACCTGATCCCTCCTCTGAAGCTTTGTGTCTGTGTTTGCTATGCTCCTTTTTTGTGTTGTTTTATATAACTTTGATATTGAATACTGTTCGTCTTCTTCATATCCTTCTCTTAAAAATTAAGAGTTATTACCACAATTTAATATCTAAACATGAAATGTAGAAATAAAAAATGTGCTTTAGGTTTTTGTAAAATGATACGTAATTTTATATATGCTTTATTTGCTTTACATTAATTTATATAGAATTATGTAATATGTTTTATATTACCTCGTGTGACCAGGACATTTAAACGTTAAAATATACTTTAAAAAGATATTCTTTTAAATGCAAACTCCTGACAAATGTGTCACTAACACTTGAATCTATTTTAGATAACAGTGTGCACACATATGTCTTCTTATAAGTTAAACTATCAGTTAGAAGAAGGAGGAGCTATTTAGAATCACATAAAATAACTTCCTGATGATCACATCATAAAAGTATGTTCCCGTAGTATGTCAATTTTAGTAGAAAAATGTTTTTTAAAATTAACCTTTGTTGTCACACTGCAATTCCAGTACTCTATTTTTTGGCGTATCTTTCAGTACCAGGTGAGAGACATTTAGATATATTTGATTGATATATTTTTTTGTTATTTTATGGCGCTTAAAACGCCTTTTCATCATAATTTATAAATCTGCCTAGGGCCTTTTATTTCCACTGGTTCGAATAAACATATTTTAAAAGTTAAAAAAAATGTTATATCGTGTCTACAATTAAACTCAATACAAGTTATTAGAATTTTAGCGATGACTACCTCGCTTCACAAAGAAAAAAAACAGTAACAGAAGAATTGCAATTGAAAGTCAAGATTAGCTAATGGCAAATATTGCATGCTTTTAACATTTAACCAATTACACATGTAAATAGTTTTCTTTACAAAACAGGAAAAAAACGAATTTTCATAAAACGATTAAAAAGACTTTTTCTAAAACCAAAATAAAAATAATGAAGGATAACTTGTTAAGTCGAATCGATACTGTGGTGTTGTTACAAAAGTGTAGATACATGTAACTCGACTTATTACTGAAATAGATTGAAATTGTATATAAATTTTCAAATTATATCTATCTTCTTACTCTGTCAATATTAACTTAGCCCCGTCACTTTCGGGAAACTTCATGATAAGCAAATTAGAGTATGTCGCAATTCTTACATCTTGAATATTAAAAAGTTCTAACGGTCAAATTCTGTAAATCATCAAACACATAACAATTAAAAGTATCTATTATATCATAATATCAGGTAAAATCGATTACCCTTTTTACCTTTATGCTGTATTACTCCAATATGAGCAAATTTGCTCATTTTAATTTGTCGTTATTTATATGTTTTAATTTGCTTGTTGCTGATATATTTTTAATCAAATATTAAAGTTATATATTTTTTATATCTTAAAACTATTTTTTAAATATGTTAAGAATTTAACAAAGAAGGAGGACAAACAGATAAACTAGGGAAAAAATTATATCACGAAAAGCAAGTAGCATGACGTCACAACGCACTGTAGCACGTAATAAATCGTATTGATAGTTTGAAATAACATTGATAGAATTTGGTTTACAAAGAATTCAATGGTTACATAGAAAATAACACCCTTGATCGTACCTGTATAACTAATATTACAAACCATCGTCACCTTTATACATGTACTATGTCTTCGTTGGGTATATTGGTAACATAGCTTTATAGTGAGCAGTAAGCTGTGCTTTGCCAAGTATGAAATGAGTCATACCATACATTGTTACAAAATAATTATCTAATGATTTAAATGCTCGTTAATTTTAGACCTTTATATGTGCACATAGATCGTTGTCAAAACATAATTTTCAGACATATTTGATATAGGAAGAACATCAGATCCTTGCAATGAAAATGTTTACACGACATCATTAACAAGCTTACGTCTGCGAGCTCCGTATAATATTCTAGGACCAGGAGAATTGGGAATTTGTGACAGATATATAGCAAAACAATGGTATCGAATAGATGGATATGTTTTGTCAACAAGTACACCAGAGGCATTTGGATGTGGAACTGAATTTCCAATGTGGATGAACGGTAATTTCTTTTTTTTATTTTTAATTTAATAAAATTGCTATAAAAGAAAACCATTTTCGTAGTCAAATTCAGTATAAAGGCCTAGCAAATGGTATAAAAACAAATCAGCGAAAATACAACAAAATGACATCTCATGTTATATTTGTTAACAAGGTTAACTAATCATAAAATTGAAGAAATAGTGACTTTAGAGGAGTATGCTCTTGCATTTTAATAGTTTGGTAGATGTGAACATCATATGCAGGCAATATCTTGACACTTCTTTATGCATAAGGAAAGTTGACAATGGAAAATTTGAAATAATCTCGTTCGCATACAATTAAGTTGTTCGTTGGCTCTTGTCGATTATAAACAGTAAATCATCCAAATGTGAAAAAGATGTCAGACTTTGTTGTGTCTTTTGTTTCAAGTTCACTTGGATAAATCGAATCGGCATATAAATAAAAGTAACTATAATTCATTAAAATGTATTGTTCATATATCTAAATGTCTTGTTGAAGGCCACAGCAATTTTTCTTTCTTCTAATGATAAGGTTTTTAATTTTTTTCTGTTTCACAGGAATATAAAAAAGGTTAGTTAAAAAAAGAACACATTTAGTTTTCATCGGAATTCCAGCAGTTTGTTGGAAGACCTTATCTCTGAAGACTACATAAGTGTTCTCAATGAGAAATCAATTATCCTTTTAACATCAACTTCAGTGTACAATGTACCTATGTGTAGCATTTAAGTGATTTTAACCAAAGTAATTATTTTGATGACCAGTATTAGAAATGAACATTTTCAAGTTCCATAATCGTAGAAGAAGCAACTGCCTATGATGCTTTTTTATTCTTTCGGGTTTTAAGACTCAATTTTTGATTTACAAAACTTTTAGAGTATGCTATAGCAGAGCACGTCTGAAGTTACCTTTGAAGGCAATAAATATTTTGTAAGGAGTAAGTGGTTTAGTGGAGCATGTGCAACAACAAGACACATATATTTGAAATATAAACATACGTTACATCATCCCTCAATCTTCTGTCATCAACATAAACATAAAAGATAAATTCTCAAAATTGAGTGGCTGACGTCTTTACCGAGATTCAATTCAATGGCAGTAATTATATAATTTTGATCGATGAGATAAGAACTTGTGTCACAATATTTTTTTTTTTTCATTTTTTTTATTTCCTTTCATGTAAAACGTTCAAGAGTTATGTTTCAAATGTAATTTTTAGACAGGCTGACATTTTGAAAACAAATGAACCACAGACAGACAGCCATGTTACATGTAACTCAGTGCTTGTTTAGATAGTAACGAAAAAGTTTTCTTCCTTACGTATTTATTTTACCACATGATTTGACGAAATTATATTTTTGTTATAAAAATATCGAAAGTTAAAAAAGCAAAAGTTCGATAAATTCTGTTTTTATTTCTAGATTAAATTAATGGAAAATCTAATGATTTTTAGATACATTTCCAGGAGAGGGTAACATATCAAATGTAATGATATGCATGAGACGATATAGTGATCCTTGCTATGAACGGTATAGCATACAGATTAAAAATTGCAGTAGATTCATGGTGTATTACTTCAAACCACCTAGCATGTGTAATGCAGCATATTGTTTTGGTATGTTATGTATTATTTTCATTATAGGAATATGAAGATGCGTGAAAATTGTTAAAACTACGTGTAGCGTTTCAAATTATATATCAATAATCAGGTTTTTCTTATTGCAGAGTGGAACCAAAATTGTATATATATTTCTTATATCATTTTCTGCTTCTGCTGTTTTTATTTTAATGCTTCGAAGTTTAACATGTTCTTTTCAAAACTTTTGTGAAATCGTGGAACTTTTTGGATTTTGGCATGAACGAATAAAAGACATATACTTGATACAACCCGTAAACAAAGGGCATTCTAGTTTTTAAGGAAAACTATCAGATTAAGTACATGAATAATTAACATATTGCAACATCGTAAAGATATCCTTTGTTGCATAATTTTTAAAAGTTTCTTCTAGAAAAATGAATCTTTGGAGTCCCCTACCAAAAATGGTATTGTTCTCCGCTTTTGTGAGTGGACAATAAATCTCATTCGTCTCTCCGTCTGTAAAAAAAAACTTTGATCCTGATCATAAATTTTGATTGAGAAGAGATCTTTGATAAGGCTTTCAAACATGGTCCCCCACAATTGGGGTCTTAGTGAGTTGGATGCAATAATTTATTGAATGTTGTGTAAAATAATTTGATAAGAACGCCATAACTTTGCAGAGGATATTCACTCCTCCATGGCACCTGATCCCACCTCTTATGTTTTGGAGGTCCGTATTTGCTCTGCGCCTATTTTTTTATTGTTTTACGGACTTTGATATTGAATACTGTTCGTTATCTCCATATTCTTCATCTATGCCATTCAAAAGTAATCACTGAAGAAATTCGTTTTTAATTAGGACAAACATGAAGACAAAGTTCAAAAATTGAAGCATGCTCGGAAACATCTTGTCACAGGTGATGCACATTTCAAATAGTGCAGCCCTATCTATTCTCAATCAAAATTATGAGGAAAAATAACATTTGCGAAAAGTATGTCACTTTCAAGGTCACAAGGCCAAAAATCATAATATATTTGTAGGCCTTTCAACTAATTTTTCAAGTTGCACATATGGTGAATAAAAAATTTATAGCCAGATTTGTAGGAACGTGAAATTCTCAAAAAAGATTATAAACAATACATTTCTTTAACTAAATTAAAAAAAATATTAATATTAGATTTGTATGATGTTTTAAGGACATGCACCTCAAGTGTAAAACATGACCAACAAAGTGCTGATTTTTGAGCTATCGTTTATAGGAATGACATATGAGCTGTTTCAGTTGGCATTGTTCTGTACACAAAAGGGTTTCTTATATTTTTGGTTCACAAAAGGGTTTACCAAACCAAGCAGCATGTCTTCACACTATGTTTTCAATAAATTTTTTTGAAGTGTAAAATTATCTAAGTTTTTGATAAAGTTTTTCAAAGTATCAAAGTTTTTGATAATTTAAAAGTTTTTCATTCAAAGTGTCAAAGTTTTCGATAAAGTTTTTCAAAGTGTCAAAGTTTTCGCCAAAGTTTTTCAAAGTGTGAAAGTTTTCACCAAAGTTTTTCAAAGTGTCAAAGTTTTCGCCAAACTTTTTCAAAGTGTCAAAGTTTTCATCAAAGTTTTTCAAAGTGTCAAAGTTTTCGTCAAAGTTTTTTAAAGTGTCAAAGTTATCACTAGAGTAAATCAAAGTTTTCAAAGTGTCAAAGTTATAACTATAGTTAACTATAGTAAACTATAGATAACTTTAGTAAACTATAGTTAACTATGGTTAACTATAGTATTTTTTTGTAAGAGAAGTCTCTTTGTTTTCGGGAAAGCGGGCAACAAAAAATGTAAAACAATGGGAACAATTAATGAGTTTGCACGACTTAATTATATTAAGAATTGAACAAGAAATACTTCTCCGCCTATTTTCATGTAGCAACGTAAGGCCATACCATTGCTTGCAAAAATATTGACAACTAGATGCTTTCTTGTTGCTATGGCAATAAGTGGTCTTCCGACCGACTTTTTTTCCAGATCGATATGCTACATCATGCCATTAAATAGATTACAGAATGTATTTTTTCTCGTTTGCGTTCATGTTCCACAGTCTTTCAAGAAAGATCATGGTTATTAAACTATTTCTAGAGAATATCTGATTTTAAAAAAGCTTTATAAATCGCAAAAATATCTATACATGTTTTAAAAGAGAGAAAATACATTTGCAACTGAAAAAAGAGAAAAACAAGGGAAAAAGAATTTAACTGCCCACAGTGAGATTTGAACCCCTACCAGCTTGACAATGTTTTTATTGATCTTTTCAAAAATGTGCACGCATAAAGATATTGAAAACACATATAGAATTCTCGAAAGACACTCTTTAAACGCTGTAAATTCTAAAGAAAAATATTAAAAACAAAAAGTTGAAAAATTGGACTTTTTGAATTCACTTCCATTTGCGACTGGAAGTAAAAATACGAGAAATGAAGTTCGATCCGCATATCTACATGTAATGCTCTATCTTGTCATTGAGTTTCAGTTTCATAGCTTTAGTCGTTCTCGAGAAAATAAGGTGACAAATGTCTATTTAAGAAATTCAAATTTCCCCAAAATTCAAGAACGAAAGCGAATTCTGAAAAAATGAAAACTACGTCTGGAGATATTTACATGATGCATCTAACCTGAAAAATTCTTTGAAATTCGTACATTCATAGCAGTGATATCGCCCTAGCTATGAAAAAAAGAATAATAATAAAAACTAGATGTGTTCTTGTTGCTAGGGCAACAAGTAGTCTTCCGACCGACTTATGTTCAGAACGATATGCTACAATTCCATTGAATACATTAAAGAACGTATTTTTTTTCATTTGCGTTCATGTACCACAGTCTTCAACAAAGATTATGATTATTAAAGCTTTTTCTGCAGAAAATCTTATAAAAAAAACTTTTTAAAAATCAGGAAAAAAATTCCATACATGTTTTAAAAGAGAGAAAAGTCATTTGCAACTAAAACAAAAAAGAGAAAAACAAAGAAAAAATTTAACTGTCTCGAGCAGGATTCGAACCCACGACAGCGTGGCAAAGTTTTGATCGGTCATATCTTTGCAATAAATGCACGCATCAAGATATTGAAAACATAATTAGAATTCTTATTAGACTTTCTATAAATCCTGCAAATCCTAAAGAAAACTGTGGACAAACGAAAATTTGAAAAATTGGACTTTGTGAATTCACTTCAGTTTGCGACCAGATGTAATAACGACGAAAATTGAAGGTCGATCGGCATATCTACATTTAATGCTCTATCATGTCCATGAGTTTTAGTTTCATATCTTTTGCCGTTCTCGAGAAAATAAGGTGTCAAAATTCCATTTAAAAAATACGAATTTCCCTAAAAATCACGAACGGAAACGAATTCTTAAAAAATGAAAATACGTCTGAAGATAGTCTCATGATGTATCTTTTCAGTAAAAGTCTTTGAAATCTGTACATTCACAGCTGAGATATCTCCCTAACTATGGAAAAAAGAATAAAAATAACGAGAAATAGCGTGCACAAAATCGGTAAGAAAAAAAGAATAATAAAATATAAGAAGAAAAGTGAAAAAGAAACTGAAGAATAACAAGGTCTTCCGCTGAAGACGGAAGACCTTAATGATAAAATGGGAAACCGACGGAAAACAATAAGGTCTTCCGAAGGAAGTCGGAAGACCTTAACTAGATGTGTTCTTGTTGCTAGGGCAACAAGTAGGTCTTCCGACCGACTTTTCTTATGAGTTCTATGCTGTGTCATCCTATGAAATATATTTCAGAATATATTTTTTCTTTACGTACATTTACAGCAATTTCTCAGTGAATTTAATTTCCATATCTTCAGCCGTTCTCAAGAAAAGTTCTGGACAAAATTCCATTAAAAATACATTTTCCCCCAAAATCGCGAAAAATGGATGGCCGAAGGCCTTCTCAGAAGATTTGATCACGTACTTACCCTCTTGAATTCCCATTGAAGTTTATAAACTTGTTATTTATTACTTATATATACATTTCAGATGGAAAATTAAATATTAAATTAACTATATTCGGATATTAATATTGCACTTTCCGGTCGTCGTAGATTTCCGTCAAAAGTACGCAAGGTGTAAATCAGCTTGAAAGGCGGTTACGTTTCGAATTCGTCAGGCTAAGAATTCTATTTCGAAGGGAATATTTTGTTAAAGGCTTCTTGTGATCAGTAACAGTGAAAAGATTTTTGTCTGGGAATATTTTTATTTGTGAAAAATGATCATTAATATCGAAAGGACACAGAAAACACGTCCGAGAAATGATGATAAAAGTTAGAGGAATTTAGATCGTCTGAAAGGGGTGGATGGATCCATGGATTGAGACACTTTTTCCGAGCCAGTTAATGTGCACTGAAGTATTAATTTTGATCAAAAACATTTAATGTACGATTTCAGTAACTAAAGGTATATTTTATTGGGTGTTGAACTATGTTCAGACTCCCTAGGTTGCCACGCGGTTTCTAGCGCAGTAATTTTACAATGAATTATATAGCGGCTGTCGTTGTGCTTCTGTGTCGCCCAATTTACTCCCCTGTGATATTCAATACAAACTCGCACCAGTCTATATAAACTCGGAGAAACTCCCGCAATAAAAATAGTCCATCTCATTTTTCTGAATTAATCTAATTTTCATAAATGATTTGAAAGTAAATGAAAATAATAGAAATTTATTTAACTTCAAATTAGCATATTTTTGTCATCTCTCTTGAGAAATGACACGTAAATTTTGATTTCCGTATGAAAAAAGTCCCAGTTTTCCGACATTTATCATTCGACAATCCTCGGCTGACTCCACTACGCTCCATTACAAAAAGTGCGAGGTCATCAAAGGAGCAACAACTGGTCTAACTGGTTTGACAATGACGCGATTGTCTAAATAAAGAGATGTATACAAAGATGGAAGGTCAAAGGAACGCTAAGGTTTAACCCAGCTTCTTACAATTTGTTTCAGCAATAAAGAGAGAGAACAACGTTGCTTTAAAAAAAATGCCATGGAAAATA